CATGCTTTGTATTGTTGCTAGTGATTTTTCTGAAACAAAAATCTAGTCATCATTCCCGTTCAAAACCTTTTGAGGGCTGCTCTCTGTCCTCAGAACAAAATCCGACTTCTAAGCACAGTACTTAAGAACTCTAATGTAACTTCTACATGTATTTCACTTTTAAAGTTCTTGAAAGTTTTTAAAATGTCATGCTCTCCTACATTTTCCCTACAATCATCACAATGCTGCTCCATTTTTGACTCTAATCTCCCAATGATACTCTTTTGGCTAACTTCCTCTTCCAAATGCCAGCTCAGACACTATTTCTTTTCTGACCTGTCACCTTTCTGCTCTGTGTTTTATTGGCTGTTTCGACTTCTTGGAAGTGGAATTTTTAAGTATTATTCATTTAGGTTAACATTTATTGATAGGATAGTTATTGTAATGGTTTTTGTCAACTTGATCAGGCTGAACTACATTTTCCAGAATTCTCTTCCCTGAATATTCTGGTTAGGGTGAGCCACAAGAGATTCTTGAACAAGATCTGGAGGGTGAATGTGAAGCAGCAGCTGTTTTGTAGCTCATACATGCTGTTGTGTTGCCTCACAGTTGTAGCTAGGCAACTTCCCATCCTTTTCCTGATTATTCTGTTTCTCTCACCTTTGGACCAGGTGTTTGTGATGAAGGACTTGGGGTATACAGGACAACCACATTGTAAAGGTCACACACAATAAAAACCGACATGGCTTTCAGTCTGTGCTTATGATTTCCAATTGTTCCTACCGTTTTCCATTTTACATCCATCTTCTTTTCTTAAATACCTGCCCTGTGGACTTCAAGTTCCAGCATCAAAGAAAGATAACAGCCTTACCGACTGCCTAATTAGCTCCCACAGTATTGTAAAGTCCAATTCCTTATATTTAAACATATTCTAGCAGTTCTGCTTCTGATTGAACCCTGATCTGACTGGTATAGAGGGAAATGATGAAGCTGGTAAGACTACCTAAAATGGTGCTTGCCATACTGTCAAAGCACCCTGTGCTAAAGTCTGTATCATATAACATATTATCTTCCTAGTAGGTAACTTTTTGAGGTAGGGACTTTTATCTATGACCAGTGCAGTATGTTGCCTAGCACACACTGTTCTGTAATTCTTTGTTAAATAATTCGAATTGCCTCTGCTGATCCAATCAGTCTCTTGAAGTAACAACAAAGATGTCAATCTGATTTCTACTTTAGATGAGTACGTTAGCTATCAGTAAATATTGAATCAAATGATTGTGTATCTTAAGAATTCAATGAAAATAGTAATTATCCATATGATACATACTTTCAAGTATTTCCTATTATGTAAGTTGTCCATTTGAATACAAGTAAATCCTTGTACAAATATAGAATTAAATACAAACCTATGAAGGGAAGAATATTCTGATTTATCGACTGGATTATTTTTCTTCACTTTATTGTAGCAAAATACACATAACAAAATTTATCATCTTAACTATTTTTAAGTGTACATTTCAGTGGTATTAAATACATTCAAAATGTGCAACCATTACCACTATCCACCTCTAAAATTCATTTTGTAAAACTGAAACTACTCCCATTAAACAACAGTTCCCATTTCCCTCTCCCCCGGCAACTGCCATTCTAGTTTCTCTATGATTTTGACTGTAAGTTCCTCACTCAACGGGAATCACATATTTCCTTTTTGTGACTGGCTTATTTCATTTGGCATAATGTCCTCAAGGTTCATCTACATTGTAGCAAATGTCAAAATCTCCTTCCTTTTAAAGGTGGAATAATATTCCGTTGTATGGATATATCACGTTTTGCTTATCCATTCATTCACTTATGGATACTTGGGCTCCTTCCATGTTTTAGCTATTATGAATAATGTTGCTACGAACATGGTAAACAAATAACTCAAGACCTGCTTCCAGTTCTTTTGAGTATATAGCCAGACGTGGAATTGCTGGATCATGGTATTTCTATTTTAAATTTTTTGAGGAACTGCCACACTGTTTTCTATGGTAGCTGTACCATTTCATATTTTTATCAACAGTGCACAAGAGTTTCAACTTCTCTACATGCTTGCTAATACTGGTTATTTTCTGTATTTTTGAGAGTTGTCTGCTGGATTCTTAAGAGTGATTTTATGACATATTGAGTCCATATTTTCTACAGGCATACAGCTAAAATAATAAAGTCAATGATATGATTTGATATATAATATTTTCTTTAGTTATTTTAAGAGTATTAAAAAGCTTAAATTTCCCATAACCTATCATATCAGTTAGCTAGAAATAGCTTCCCACTGAATGGTCTCATAAACATAGTA